ATTAGTTTAACTAGATCCAATTAAGCTTCTAAGCAAACTTGCAGGGTATTTTTAATGGGGTAGAACAGTGCTGTCTAACAGAAACATAATGTAAGCCATATATATGTAATCTTAAATGTTCTAGAAGCCGCATCAAAAAAGTGAGAAAAGATAGGTAAGATTAGTTTTAAAATAATTTGCTTAACCCAATGTATCAAAAATATTATTTCAACATAAATTCATAATAAACAATTGAGGTATTTTATATTCTCTTTTTGTACTGAGTCTTTGAATGTCTGATTTTAACACTTACAAGACATCCCAATTCAGACTAGCCATAGTCATATATGATTAGTGGTTACCATATTGGACAGTGCAGATCTAAAGGATTTTCTGATGTAAGCAATTAAGATCATTACACTTTCATACCCACAATAGATCTTACAATGCTATAAAAACAGGATCACATTTCTAAAATGTACCTACAAAGCATTTCCTTGATTAATTCATCAAGGTGGGAGTAATCACAGTTGTTATTTTTATAAGCAGGGTCAAGAAATTTAGTTATAAGGAAAAAATTATATAGTTATTACTTTCAGTCATAAATTACCTGTCCCAGCTTTACTAAGCTTAAAAATAATATTTGGAGACTAAAGGGGAACTATTTCTATATTTGGTACTTGCATTTATTAAGAAAGCCATATCCCACCAATACTACAAAATGGCTGGCAAAAATATATTAGACAAGGAGAAGATAAGAAAGGGAAGAAATGGAAAACAATTATTTATATAGATGTAAATTTTAGAAGATTTTGATATAATTTATAAGCAAAAAGGCAATGTACCTAAACAGTGATGGGGTTAAGTGTGGAGTATAAGATTAATCAGTCCTGTTCCAATTAAGAAACTAAGGGGGATTAGAAAAGTCAAAACAAAACTTAAAACTTGAAATATTACTTCCCTTGGTTAGTTTAGGCTTAAATCAGTCAATCCTCTCTCCCCTCTTCTGGAGGAGGCTGTGCTGTTATATGCAAATTGTGTGTGGTAGCTAAGGTGAATGCAATTGTATTAAGCCACACTGGACTTGCTTAACCACATACAATCCGAATTCTAATCTCCCACTTAAGTTGCAGGGACTTATATTTTTTCCAGTTCAAGAAAGGAAAGAAGAGGTGGAGAGGCAGGCCAATTTCATCCTCCTTCCCACCTCTGTTCTCACATTAAAAATGTCAAATGAAGCTTTCTATAATCTCCATGCCTCAGGCTTAATGCTTATGTCTGATAAATATTACAATTATCATTCTACATTAAAGAAATTAGGCACCCCATTATTTAAATTAGCCACTCATGGACAAAAGTACCTTAACAGAATTCCTTTCCAGACCTGAATTTTATGACATCTGGCCAAGTAATTGAACTGACAAGAGTATACTTTAAAGTCTTTAAACCATGTAGGCTATTTTATTGAGCAAAAAAATTAACCTTTGATTTGGGGATCAGCTTTGACATTTCATCAAACACACTGGGAAAATCACAGGGTACAAGGCACTGTACTAGCTAGACATGATGGGATTTATAGGGTTCATATTATTCTCAAACTCTTAAGACCTCCAGGTCCACTGCCAATCCCCTTACCTACATCTGTCACAAACAGAATCCTTATACTAAAAAAAGAAAAATCACATGGAATACCACTGTCTGTTGGTATTCAATGGGAAAAAATGTTTCAGCACTGATCTCTCCAGGGTCCTTAAAAAATCTAGCTTAGATAATGTTGCTAAGGTGGTGAGCAACTTGAGGCAGTGGCTATGTCCAGCCTGGAGGCAAAATGGGAATGTAATTTAAATTTTTGCACTGGTGGTTTTTACAGTTTTGGTGGTAAATAACATCTGTACCCTACACCAGGCTCAGTAACAGTACTTGGCATGACCAACCTTAGTCATCACTTTGGTAAGTGCTTTGGCACGGGCCACTGTTGCTAACCACCATCCTGGTGCAGGTCCTTCACATCTGCTCTCCTATGGATGGAAAAAAGGGAGTGTCTAGTGTCCATTCATTGGCCACATCACCTCCAATCCTATCCTTTACTCACACGCCTTTCAAATCAGGCCCAGGAGAAAATGATTTTTGGAAAGGAAAGCTAACCAGACAAAGCTACAGTACACTCTTAGCACAGTAAGACTTGGTGGGATGCAGAACATCCTTAGAGTGACAGCTGAAGGAACTAACCAATAGCACATTGCTGAAGAGGATGATTTAGGAAATATTCTGGCGAACACTGACTCTTAACAGACAGACACAGTAGCACGGTGGACAGAGCAAAGGTCTTGAAATCTGAAACATGAAGTTCTTAGCCTCACTTTAGCTAGAAAGACAGTGTATGTTTTGTAAACTGTGAAAGGAAATGTGTACATTTTGTAAACAGTTTTGTAAACTGTGAAAGGAAATGGATTTTCATCAGTCATTAGCTTGGAAATGTGTGGGGCAATTCTTTGGGCCTTGCTTCCCCTAATGATAATTCTGACAACTTAATCAGATTGTGATAAAATAACCAGAGCTCTTTGGAAGAAAGATGCAGTATGTGAATAACAAAGATTTATCCTATCAACAAGAGTAAGTTTCCCTTCCCCTGGAATGAATGGTCATTTCTCCATTTGTCAATCTAACACCTCTTAAACTTCAAGGATCAGCACAATTGTTACCTTCCCTGTGAAAGAGTCCCTGATTCATCACAACAGAATGAACTGCTCCTTTTCCTTGGGGCACACAGTTCAATATAGACCTTATTTTGACATTACTTCCTTCTACCCTGTATTCTAGAATAGCTTATAGCCATATCCCACACTAAAATGTGAGTTATCCAAAGGCAGAGACTACCACATTCACCTCTGAATCTCCCTCATCTTCCTAGCACAGTGCCTTGCAGAGAGTACCTGCTTAACAAATATTCCCCGAATTTTCTGATTTTAGTCTACCTTGGCTTTATGGCATCTTTTTTACCTCAAAAAAAAAACAAAAACAAAAAAAAAACAACCAAAAACCAAAAAAACAAACAAACCAAAAACAACAGTGAGAAGAGAGAAGGTACTAAGACAGACACGTAAGACGACGCATAAAGAATGGGTTCATTCTTTGCATTCCAGCTTTGGAATGCCCACTGCTCATCTCCATACAGTTTTGTCATTGACTGTTATTAGTGAGAGCAAATGTTAGAAAGCACATAAAGGCAGACAATGTAAAAAAACAAAAAAACAAAAATCCCCACCACACATCATGGGAAAGTTGTGATTTAGGATTATTCTCAAAATTGCCTTAACTTTAACTTGAATGGCGAAATTCATACCATCAAAGCCAACACAAGACATATTTTGCTATGGAAAAATCAGTATCACCTTCAGATTGAGCTGGGAGTCAGCTGGATGTTTACTCATCCAGGGCAAATGGGCCAGTTTGATAGTATCTGTGTTATCTTTTAAGAACTCATATTACTGAAATGCAATTTAAGAAAAACAAAATTTATTCAACCTAACTAGTTTACTGTCTTCACGCTAGCATGCTCCCTTCTGGTCCTTGTTAACATCTCCCCCTCCACCTACCAGGCGGACTCTGTTGGTTCTCATCCTAACTGCTGTAGTTACACTGCTGTGTTTCACTTGCCCCATCAGATCTTTGTGAAGTACAAATCTTGTTTTTATTTGTTCATTCAGAACTTGTTCTTCTGCCTCCTATGTTTGCTCTAACAATAATCTTCTCTTGTACTGTAAATTCATTCAGGGTAGAAACATGTATGTATATTCTATACAAAGTATGGAGAATGTCATATGCAAAGAGATAACAATGTCTTTTGAATATTATGAACATGGTTAACTGTAAATTCTAAGCTTGGGAAAATGATGGAAATTTAAAAGGAATAGCTGGAAGTCAACTAAAGTGTAGTCATACTAGCTTTTTAGATATGAAGCTACTTACTTGTATGTAAGTCTATCGCATTAGCAGCAGCATTTGAAAACTCAGGCTCTGTAGAGGGTCTAAATATCCTAACTTGTCACACTCCTCATGTCAGCTCTTCCTGTTTTTGAACATTTCTGCTCTAAGCTTCCTGCTGTGCTTTTAGCCTCTGACTGTTTCTTTATTATACCTTTCCCTTTTACGGTTCACTTTCTGGCTTTACCATTCCAGTTGCTACTTCTCTTGACTGAGGGATACTAGCCTTTGCAGAGTTGTTGTGAAAAAGGAGATGACCAGAAGAAATTCACCTTCCGGTGGCAGCTGCCACCAACACACAGAAGCACTCACTCAAGATGGCTTAAAGGAGACAGTGACTCAATATATGACTAGAAAATTGAGCAATTCAGGCAAGTGTGAAAGGAATACTTTCTAATAACTCCTCCAAGATGACTAGTTACTTATTAGTATATATTTAGTTTAATTATTTTCAAAACTGGCTATTTTTGGAGGGGAAGGAGGTGTGAAGCAAGAAGGGAAGGGGAAATTGTTTTTAGAATCCCTAGTTAATACAAGTGCCTGCTTTCAGAAAATCCTTCATTTGAGCTATTCCTTTTCACCTTTTCCTAGACAGTTTAGAATTCTTGGTTTCAGCAGCAATCCAAAAAGAAAGAATTGCAAACTTGCACATCAAAAATGGATAAAAATAAAAAGCACCATGATTTGGAACAAAAACCAAAACAGACTAAAACGAAAAAATACAAGAAGCAGCAAAATCATCAAACCTAATTTGCAGCATCTTTTTGAAGACAGGGAGGTTAGTTGGTTAAATATCACAGTGACCTGGCAGCTACTCTCCTAGCTTTGAGAGTTGAAATGTTTAGGAACGCACATCCATAAGCGGCACATGTAGAACCACAGTGGCCAAGAGAGGTCTGAACTAGTGCTGCCTGGGCCAGCCTGTTAAAATCAACATGGATTTCCAGAGTTGCTGTTCTATGGTAACTCTCAGTGAGAGAGACAAAGAAATAGAACATTTTTAGAAACCAAGCAAAAAATGGAGGGGAATACAATACCTGGAAAGTTTATCAAGCATGTTGACAAGTTTCATGGCTTCATATTCTTTTTGTTCTTCTGTCATTTCATCTATGGGGTTTGGCATTGGTTCCTCTAAATGACCAGTGATAAGATTAATGCTACAAAAAGAAAAAAAAGTTATGCTGTATGTTTTCAAATTATGCTCTTTCTATACTTTTCTGGTCCAAGTTTTAAGTTATAATAAGAAAGAGTATAATAGCCAAAAAATTGGCAGTAGCAATTTTAGGTATAGAACTGCTATAAGAATTTTTTTAAAAAACTGACTTTTCTTACTAATTTGCTTTGGGAAGTGGGTGATAGCTAACTTGCCAGCTTTTTTTTTGAAGGCATTCTTTCTAAAAATTGGAAATTTGATTGGTGCCGTTAGGATAAATATCCTTGGATGCACAGCTTAATTATATAGGGGACAAATGATTTCAGAGAAGAAGAAACCTATTTTGTGATACAGCATAAAACAAGTATGTCAAAAAAATTGGAAAAATGATGACAGGCTGGAATCTGAAAATGAAAGCATGCCAATTTATAATCTCAGGAAATTAGTCCATTAGTGAGACCACAGAAGGCAATGAGTGTTTAAATAATAAAAGATAAAGCAGAACAACTTTAATCAGATTTGATCTGGCCTAGATAAAAAAAAAAAAAAAGGAATGAAATCTAGTCTACCAAAAGATAGGTATGCCATCAGGCTTTCTGGAAATAGATTTAATAAAGGACTTAAAATGAATGTGTTCCATAAACTTTGTATGAAGTTCTAATACCAAACCAAACTATCCTCTTAATTAAAAGCCATACTATTTTTTTTTTAAGGAGGAGGAGGTGAAATAAAAGATAAATCTTTCAATGGCTGCCAAATATCTATAGTTTAAACATCTTTCTGGAGAAGCAGACAAGAGGTTATAATATTCTGTACCATCCAAGTACAGTCAGTAATGTTTTTAATGATCAAATATCACTGCAAACAGCAAAGTGCCAATAAATTACTTTCTAGGGTTTACACACACAAATGCTTTCAGGGGTCAGGCCTTAAGGATAGGCAGATGAGTGAACTGGTTAAGTAACATGGAGTATTGTGGACTAGGGTAAAATGGAGAACAGTTCTAGTCTAAACAGGGGAAGAAAATCATGTGGGCCAAAACCAAGACATTGTGATTGATTATGTCCTCACGTGGCCAGTTTGCTGGCCTGGCTTTAGACTTTTTACTTGGGCAAGTTGACGTCCTTAACTAAGCAGGGCTTTTCTCACATAAAGCAAGGGCTAGGTACTATAATGTTAGTAAAAATATTTCTTTTTCTACATTTCTCAGAGGCTGCCTGACAGATTTCTTGCAGAAGGACTCAGTGCTCACCATCCTCAAAAACTGGATCTCAAACATCTATTTTACCATTCTTGTATAAAGACCCTGGTCAAGGGCCATGGTTAAAAACTTTTTTCCTTCAAAGCAGAGGAACCCCTCACCCTTTTAAACAAATGAAATCTACACAGAAAGCTGATACATGAAATAGATGAAAGTGGAACTGCTCAGGCAGAAGAGGGGCCAGAGATGGCCAAGGAGAGTGGGGGCCTAGAATCCCTTCTATGTGCTTCCCTTCTATCCTCATTCACTTGCTTCCTCTGAAGGCAGCCCCTATGGCACTTTCAAGAACTCTGGGGAAATAGTCTGAAAACCCACGGGCTTGTCAGTGATTCTTAGCCTTGGCTGTAAATTGCAGTCACCTGAGAAACTTTAAAGACGTGACCTGGGCCTCACCTGAACCCAACTAAATGTTTTTTTTTCCCCAGGCGACTGTGATACACATTGAGGTTGCAAACCCCTGGGACAGAGCTGACCTGAGACACTCACTGTGTGCTACCAGCCCCTCTCCCTTTGTTTCAGGTGCTCATGCATGCTCAGCTGCTAAGTCGTGTCTGACTCTGTGAACCCACAGACTGTAGCCTGCCAGGCTCCTCTGTCCATGGGATTTACTAGGCAAGAATACTGGAATGGGTTGCTATTTTCTACTTCAGGGGATCTGCCCCATCCAAGGATAGAACCCAAGTCTCCTTGTTTCCTGCATTGGCATGTGGATTCTTTACCACTGCGCCACCTGGAAGCATCAGGTACTCATAAAAGAAAAGAAAAAGGCCTCAAGTTGGTGGCCATTAACAAAAATGTTGAATGGGGTCATCATATTTCCCAAAAGTTAGGAACAAAGAGGACCCAGATAAAGCTTCTGAGAAGGTAATTTTTAAGAAGTCTCCAGATGCTACACTGAAAATGTAATTCCACCACTCATCTCTTATTTGCTTAGGCATAAAACAATAGGACATATTTTCACTGGTTTCTCTTCTGCTGCCTGTTAAATTAGAAAAACATCTAGTCTTAAAAATAAATAAGTAAAGATACTTATAAGGCGCATGCCACTTTCCAAGCAGATAAAAGAAATATGGCCTTAGAAGAAGGTATAAGGCAGACAGGTATATTAACTATTTAGGTCATGCTCATATGTCTCTTAAGAGAAGTCTTCTCTCTTCAAGCTCAATGGAAGGGTGACAAAAAAATCAGATCCACACACTATTTTAGAATATAATGAAATTAGCACAGGCCATCATGTGCCTCAGGGAAAAAAATCTGTCAGGAGGATACCACAGCACATGAAGTCAGGACATGATTCCTGGATCAGGGCACATTTGATTCTTTTCTTGGTTCTTTTAAGGGCTTAGTGGAAATGATGACTCCTTTCCACAAGCTGACCTCAAGTCTGCTGCTGCTAAAATGATTTAACAACTTGCTGTGAAATTAGCTACTAGAGTCATACAATCCTTTGCTCACTGAGCATAAAATTCACTCTTACAGAGTAAGAACTTACCATCCTTTACCCATGTAGTAAAACATTCCAACCCCCCAAAAACACTCTCGGTATTGCGCTTTCAATCTTTTCCTTGAAAAAATACCCCCTGCCCCAAACCCCGACCCGGTACTCAGAAGAATATAACCACCACCATGGCACACAGAAGTTGCTGAACTCTGCCACTCAGAGTTATGGTAAAAAAAAGATCAAAGACACCAATATACGGGGGGCAGGAGGCAACCTTAGACACTGTCTCCCCTCCTGCCCTCCACTTCAAACCAGTCTCATGCAGTTTCCCCACCCAGAGAAAGAGAAAACAAATAGTAGTCACCACCACAGCAACAGAGTGAGGTTTCATAAAAGAGTTATTTTCGCTGAACAAATACTTGCCACCTTTATAACCTTAAGAGTATAGTCTGAGATGTAACTTTCCAGGTTTCAGGATCTTAACACTGAAATTCTGGGACTGTTTTTTTGTCCAAGACTCTGAGTCCTAAGATACTTTAAGTATACTAACTGCGGTAGATATTTTATTGGGTAATTTTATATTTATCATAATTTTCCCCACCTTGTCTCTGCTCCTGGCCCCCATATTTTCATCACTCCAGTCCTAACTCTTCTGTGTGATATGTCATCAAGAAATTTGCATTATGTATAATGCCATTACATGACTGCAGCTATAGGTCTGGAGACAAAAGGATTAAGACTTTTACTCTTCAAATTGTTGCTACATTTGGCCAACATCAATTGCATTATACTACTTCACTTAAAAAAAAAAAAAGGAGCTATTAAATGTTCCCTGAGCTATGAGAAAGTTAACATCTATCTCTAAAAAACATGGGTCAAATTTTACTCCAAGCATCCTGGTTAACAAGCTGTAAAGTCAAGTCCCTGCAGAGGCTAAGGCAGATAAGATGAACAAAGATACGTTATCAAAGGAGCTTATGCCTGGTATGACAGGGGCCACAGTCATTCAACTCAGTCAGGTACCATGTAGCACTGTAGGCCTAATGTTATCAGAACTTCCACCTTTTCAAAAGAAGGAATCTTAATTTTCATCTGTAAGATATGAATTCTAAATTATTTTAAGCCCTATGTAAAACAGATATTAAAAACATAAAACCAAATAACCAAAGCAACATCAGGCAAGTGAAGCGAAACCTACTTGTGCGCTAAATCAAGTCTGTGGGCTGACGATCTGCAACCTCTAGGAAAGGGATCAGGGTTTTTAGGAGAAGGCGTTTGTGAGTCCAGATTAAGGAAGAAGAGGGCAGTGGGATGGGAAAGGAGACATTATGTGCTCATGAAATTAGAAATATCTTTCCAGGAAAAACTCTCCATAACATCTGCCACCCACAAAACAATAAATAGAGTGGAAATTTACCATACCCTCTTTTCTTGAATTCCATCCCCTGGCCCCATTTCCCAGCTAGATGTGGAGACTGAAGAGGGCAGGGACCTCATCTGTCTTGGTTATCCTCATGCTAAGAAGGGGCTGACCAACTTAAATTTATTAACACCTTAAAAAACCTAATGTATTCAACAAAAATTTACTGAATGTCTACTGCACATGAGGCACTTTTTGGGGACATCTCAATGAATAAAAAAAATTCTCTCACGGAATTTATCTTCTACTGGGAAAAACAGACTAAGTGAATAAGTAAATTGTATGGTATGTTAGAAGGTGATAAGTGCTATGAAGAAAAAAGAGCAAGCATGAGGTGGAGGGGTGAAGGAAGGATTGTGGCAATTTTAATGTGGGGACAGAGCAGACTTTACCAGGAAGATGATAATTGAGTAAAGACACGCAGAAGCCAAGGGAATGGCCTTATGGCTATCTGGAGAACAGGCATCCCAGGCAGAAGGAACAGTCAATGCCGAGGCCTCAGACAGGAGTGTGGTGATAGCACAGTGACAGAGGGCACATGTACATCACTGTAAGGACTTTGGGTTTTAGCCATTGGAGAGTTCTGAGCAGTGGCAATGTCTGACTTACATTTTTATAAAGATCACACTGGCTGCTGTGTTGAGAACTAAAAGAATGACCAAAAAAAAGTAAAGAAGTAAAGTAAAGCAAAAAAAGTAAAGAATGACAAAGATAGAAGCAACAAGACCAGTTAGGAAACTATTTAAAATGATCTCAGAGGGAGATAAAATTTGAGCTTGGACTAGAATAGTGGCAGTAATGGTAGTGAGGGGTGACGAAATTCTGAATGTACTATGAAGGTAGACCCAGAATTACCTGATAGATTTATGTGAATCAGAATGA